AACAACTCTAATTCTGGTAGAATCATTGTAAACATGTGGGGCTGGATGAGTGCTGACAGGCCAGGTGAACTGGCATATATCGACGGGAGAGCCACTGGACAATCATACAAGGAATTGCTGGAAGAAGTTATGTTGCCTTCAGTACGCACGGTGTATCCGAGGGATGAACTTCCAAACTTTGTTTTTTTTTCAAGATAATTGTCCTATACACCGTGCACATGAAGTACAAGAGTGGCTTAGCCAGCAAACGGAAATAAGGAGTGTGCCTTGGCTTTCTCGATCTCCCGATCTTAACATAATCGAACAGTTATGGGCGATTATGGTGCAAAGATGGGATTTTAGGAATGAACGCACTAAATCAGTACTCACCATCCACTGTAATGAAATTTGGGACTCCCTTCGAGGTTCAGATTTATGTAGAAATCTCGTACAGTCCATGCGTAGGCGCTGTGATGCAGTTATTGATGCTGGTGGGCATCTACTAAATATTAAGTAGTTAGGTAGATATAGTCGAACAATATACCTCTATTATACAAGTATATATCATTTTAAATGATATTGTTATTTATATTGTTGATTATAATGTCTGTGATAAAAAATTATCATTATTTTTTTTTTGCATTTCTCTATTGAATTATTGTTAGTACTGACACTAATAATATGACCTTAGAATTTATAACACATATTATTAGTAATTTGTGTTTTATATGATGATTATTGGATTGTTATAAATATTGACAATTTTGGTCGATGTTATATCGCGACTAGTGTTGATGTAAATTGCTATGATATTTGATTATTTCCTGTGATACGAATAAGAATTGTTTATATTTTATATCCATTTATTTTATAACAGAAATTGTTACGTTAGAATGGCTAAGGATTAATATACTTTAATTACTTGATCATTATTTAATGTTATATGTTATAAAAGATACCGATTTAATCATTGAAATTAAAAATATTGTATACACTTTATTTTCTTTTGTATGTAAACTTCAGACAGAATACTCAGTTTTATGTTTGTAATTTGACTTAGTATGATTAAAACAGCTATTTTTAATTTAAAAATATTTATACAGTGTAGAAAAATATTGGCAGAATTTTAACCGATATAGGTTACAATTCTGCCAGCCGTTACATTAAGAATAACTTCACTAGGGCTAATTATTTATTTATAACACATTTTAATATTTGTGAATGATTGTTCAATTATAATAAACATCCTTTTTATACAACGTCATTTTGTCACTAGGGTAAAGCTATTATTAAATTACAATTATATTTCCTGTGATGCTAATAATAATTGGTTTTATCTTCAATCCATATATTCTAGAATAAAGATAATATTAAAAATAAAAATAATGAATGTGTTTTATGCAATAATTATTTAATTATAATAAAGATCCATTTTATTCAGCATTAGTTTATCATTGGAGTAACGCTATTGTTAAATTGTAATCATATTTAATTATTTTCTGTGTTACTAATAATAATTGTTTCTATCTTCCATGCATATATTTTAGAATAAAGATAATATAAAAGGTATAAATAATAAATGTGATTTATTAATTGTAAAATGTGATTGTAATAAACATCCATTTTATTCAACATTAGCTTATCACTGGGCTAAAGCTATTGATAAATTGTAATCATCAATAGCTTTAGCAGTCTGAAAATAAATTTATAATTTTTGCCAAAGAAACTTTTTCAATTGCTTTAAATTTGAATTTCTTATCGGACTGATGCATAGACTCCATTATTCGAGTCGAGATTTAACTGGACCTTACAACTACAAAAGAATACTTCAGTTAAATACTCTGTGATCATGGCCTGCAATATTGCCGAAATATCGGGGACTCGTACAAAATATGGAGGAATGGTAAAAATTCCGATAGTAATAGGGTAGTGTCCTACACATAAACATAAGGGTTTCCGTTATATGTATGGAAAAAAATGAACCATTTTAACTTGTCAATATTTAACTTATTATTTTAACTACACTTATTTGGAAAATAAGGTACTTTGAAGATTCGAAAAAAGTTGGAAAAATAGATTTACACAATAATTTGCTAAAATACACGTGGCATTAAATTAGTTACATAAAACGTTACAATGTTCATTACGCAAACTATAATCATAAACGCAAAAAAACATAGATGTTACAACGATTGCCCAAAAGCCCATACGTTTTTCGCTATTGGAGCAAGGCGTAGAGTCACTTCGTGGCGTGAATTTGTAGGGAGCATTTCCAGCCGATTAACAGGAGTTCCACAAACATAGTACCATATCTACGCAACTATTAATCGCAGACATGCTGTTACTTCTATATTAGTTCTCAGATATTGATGGACTATATATTTATAAAATAAAAAAGTAATCAACTAGTTTATTATTACTTTAGCGTTAGTAAACATTATAGTCTAAAAAGTAGTTGATCTTTGCAATTTAATGTGATCAATTAATTACATATATGAAATCGATCAACATTTAATGGAATATAATTTGCACTGAACACTTAATATTTTGCAAGAACTACAAAATAAGGCAAGTAAATAATGAAAAAATTACATATACTTAATTGAAAACTAGTATTTGCTAAAGGAGATAAAATTTGTACCTTAATTAACACAGTAAAACTGCAAAGCCGAATACAACGATACTCTAATGAATAAGACAAGTGATTGATTGTCTAATATATCCGGGATTATGGGCCATCATTAGTTCCTTATTAGTTTTGTAATATTAAGTTTTTATGTTGGACATCCATAAACATTCAACTTTTTTATTTACTGTATACCTGATTTTTCATAATTATATCATCATTTAAAGCTACTGGTGGTTATATATCATTGTTTTTCTTATGACACTTCCTTCTGCTATTGTTGCTTAATAATTTAAAACAGCCGCCAACTCGTTTAATGTAAATAAACTAATCAACTATTTTAGTTTTAAATAGTATAAAGGCTACTTGTCCTTATCACTCTCGTGCAATACTTATTATGGCATACTAGACTTTGACGTCCCAGTCGAGTTTATGTCTGTTCTGTCTAAACGAGATTCGGAACATATAAATTTATGTATATCTCAATAAATTATTGATCTATATTATTTGTTCTTATAGATTTAATTTGTTTTATATTTCATTCGTGCAGTTAATTAATGTATTTTTTATGAACTTTTCAATATTATAAACACTAACATATCAGGTTACCATAAAATGTTAAAACGCAGTTAATTTTGAATAAATTTAGGTTTAAAACTGATCGAAATATCGAAAGGGATGAAAAAATATAATAGACGGAGAACTCGTGACAAAAATAAAGAAAACTGGTAGAGAATAAAATGGATAGGAATAACAATAAATACAATATCGACAAAGCAATACAAACTTATTAATATCTTAAACTATGCACACAGTTTCATACCATGACTTATAGCCTTCTTTCGTTTTGTCATCCTTTCCTCTTCCTTATTTTCAATTCTAAACAGTCTTTTCTTTTTTTTCTTTCTGTATTTGAATCTTCATATAACTTCATTGCAGGCATTGACTGCTTGCGTTTCACTCGGGTTGTATCTCGAAGCCCTCGTAATGACACAATGTAATTTAGAGGTATAGCTCTTTAACAATCAAATCTAAGTGTCCATTAACCCATTATACAAATTTTGAACGAAGAATTAAAAATAAAAACTGATTTAAATCTATATGTTTCATGGACACGACTTTTATTACTTAAAAATTATTTACATAATTAGTACAATTATTCAAACACAGTTTTAATTGCTATAGCTGTGTTAAATTCTTTACTGACACGATTTTTACTGTTCCCATTTTGATGTTTGCCTAAATATAAAACCGTAGCAGAAACTGTTTTTTAATTCAGCATATTTGTTAATTTATATTCACCTTCATTGTATTAGAACGAACGTAGTTGGTCGCCTTGGCGTTACCTTGGGGTTTTCTAATAAAATTTATTTATTTTATTAAACATGACTGTAATGTATGTATAAGTAGGTAGCCGGTACCTACATACTCGTAGATTAACTATTTATATTTGGGGGTACTTCGGTGCCGTTTTGTAACGCTCATGTAAATGGCTCAGTCGAATTACAATCGTGTAACTAAGAGGCATAGTTTTATTATATCCCGACTTCCCATATATTTCACATACCTATAATTAATCGTTATAGAACAGAGCGAAGGCTGTTAATTCCATGCATTGAGGTCCTTAAAATAATCATCAACTTTATAATAGCCTTCACTTATAAGTATATTCTTGACATAAATTTGAAATTTATTTATGGGTAGGTAATCTACGCTAATGTTGCTATCAAAGAATTTTGCTTGGACTACGTATTCGATTAAGTTTTGTGTAAACTTCAGAACAATTTTTTTATCTGTATATCAAATTGGATTGGATTGGATTAATATCTCTAAAGTTTTCAAAGATAAAGTGCTGAAACATATTGGATATTTGTTGTTTTTTTTTTGTTGCAATATCTTCGAACTTAAAATTCAAGGTAATTTCATTATCAGCTCGAGAAACAACAGCGTTTTAGGAGTATATATGTTGCCCAAATTAACTATCCATGCAGAAGAAGTTGCGGACAAAAGCTAGTATAAATTAAAACAGGATATTTAGCTGAAATTTCTGTAACTGATGTTATTTCATTTTACTCAAGACAATAAGGACCCACTTTCAGTATAAGAATATCAATCATCTTTATTTTTACCATTGTTAGAAAAGGTTTTACATCATTGTTCAATTACAAACCGTATTTGTTAAATGCCATAACAAATCAAACAAAGCACTAGCAAACAAACCAAATATATTCAATAATTTTAATAGTTCAATAACATATTTCTTTTATTTAAACAGTCAATAATACAATCCCAAGGGCACATATGTTAAAATAAGAACGTCATAGCAAATAATATAATGTCACAGTGAAATAGAAAATAACTTCGTTCAACAATAAAAAAGCTCTTAATTCTTGAAATGACTTCAAAAAAAAATAGAAGGTAATAGAAGGTACTTGAAGGTAAGGCAAGTAAACCAAAATTGTATAAATGTAATGTCATAATTTTTTTTATTGTAAAATTTCGTATATTTCGTGCAATTATTATTTAAAAATTCAAAGCGACCAGTCTTTTTTTCTTAGACACAGCAATTTGTGCATTTCCGTGTATATTATTTACACAATTTACAAAACTCAAGAGACTGTTAAATTGTGGCCAAATATTATGGCGGAAACACGATTGCTCAAATTTTGTGGCATTTTTACTAATCGATGACATATGTGTAGAGTAGTTCGGTGGTGTAGTGTATCAGCGCCGTGGTCCGCGAGATTTGATGTTAAATCTTTCGCAAGGGTCGGTCACGGGATGGGTGACCGAAATAAAATATTATCACGAGCTACTCCGTGCTTCGGAAAGTAAGTAAGCTGCTGGTCCCGGCTACATTTGTAGTTGTTAATACCCTTCAATCTGCATTGAGCCCGGAGGGTCATTAACTTTATAGTTGCAGTGGGGACGTAAAAGGACTGATGATGGTAAACAGGACTATGCTCTCAGCAAAGTGCACAAGACAATTAATTTCAGTAAAATATTTAATGACCCGAAAACAACACACTATTTTCGTCATCGTCCTCAAAATTGTCACATACTGACATATATTTTTACTGTTGAACATGGTTATATAGCCATATTATATTAAAGCTGAGAGTTGGTTTTTAAGTAGATATACATTTAATAACATCTTCAGAGCTAGATCATATTTTTTTATGGAAAAATAAAACAATGACGTAAGCATTACTTTAAGTTAAACTGTTTCATAGTAAATTGTTCAGTAATATCCAAAATACTGTATAGTGTTTTCTTTTTAATTCATAATTTATATTTAGAGTTCAAAAGAAAGACATTTTTTTACTGCTAGTAAATTTTACCTTCAATCTTTGTCATTTTTGTAGTTTTAGTTGGAAGTTTATGTAATGAATGAATAATTAATGAAACACGAATGATAACATTTTATTGCATTTTTAATCATTCAATAATTCATTCATCATTCAAAAGTGTTATCGACCTTCTGTATGTCGCACAAATATACATTCGATCTATAGTTATTTGCACTACTATGGTTCAACAAACTCACAAGCTTTTTTATTCTTCGTCATCTTTGTTATTTAAAACCGGTCTTTTCTCTACCAAAGGAGTAGCAACATTACATAACACTACACAAATCGTAATTTATGTGTACACTTTTTTTTGTCTTTCAAAGAATGTTAAATATATATAAAAATATATGAAATATACACATTTAATGACTTCTTATATTTTCGCACTGTTACTAATTAATAATAAAAATAATTTAAATATTAAAAATAAAATAGAGAGCTTCTTTTTGGTTATATAAGGTGGAATCACTTTAAAGATGAAACAGCAGTCCTTTTCTAATGACATATATTTTGATAAGAACACAATCGGACCAAACCACTCCAAAACATGACAAGTGATATTTGCTCATAATTACAACATAAGTAATGCAACACTTGATTTGAAATTATTTCTTTGCAGTGATATAAATGGCAGTGTATGCCTGTCTCCGTCCACTGGAGTTGCTCCTCAGACATTTGCTGCTGCCATTCAGTTCTTCACTGCCGCACAATGTCTTTTACACCAAAACATTCAACCAGATGACGAAGTGACAGGTTATTTTATAAATAATAAGCTAACCAATGCAAAAATTTAACCAATTTGTAATATTGTATAACTACATCTTTCATCAGTGACCAAATATTTACCATCTTAAGCTCTGTGCTCTGTGCCTCGGAGGGCTTACTTCTATTGCATGTTTTATCTATGGTTGTCGCTATACAATTATATATCACGTAAAATTTCAAAGAAATAAATACTACTTGTATTAAAAAAATATATGTAGATCACTCAGCGACTTCAGTTTATGTTCACATTGATATTCAGATTAGAGAAATGACTTTTGCTATGATAAATTTCTTACTTGTTTTGATAGATACATTTTTTTTTTCAGATAATAGCAAATTTGATTTTATAATTATTGGCGGAGGCTCAGCTGGTTGCGTTTTAGCGTCACGACTTAGTGAAGTAAAAAAGTGGAAAGTACTGCTTATAGAAGCTGGATCACACCCTCCCATAGAAAGTGCGGTAGGTGTTAACTAATACTGATCTATTTCTATATTGATGTTGTAATAATATCAACAACATGATATTGCTATATAACTTATTAGTTTTGTTTTCAGAAGTCAGCAGGTATCATTATCATCATCATTAGCTTTTACGTACTCACTGCAAGGGCTCAGGCCTTCCTTTTGGATGGTTAAGGAGGTTGGGTCACGACCTACCTCACTGCCCCAATGCAGATTGGAGGGTATTGACGACTGCAAATGCAGCCGGAATCAACGGCTTAACGTGCCTTCCGAAGCACGGAGCAACTCGAGATAATAATAGTGACTGACCCTTGCGAAGGTTGCCTAACAACTACGATCTCGGGCCGCGACGCTTGTCCACTACGCCACCGAGTTACAACACAGCAGGTGTCAACGTGAAATAATATGGTTACTTAAAAAAATATATATAATCTAACAAAGTACAACTTATCATGACGAGAAATCTACATTTCGAAAATTTTCGAATTTTATTTTATAATAAAAAAGATTAATAAGATATAATTTTTTTCTTATTTTTCCATAAGTACACATGAGCAGGTCTACCTCTCGGCGCCCGCTTATCGTTGAATTTTGGGACACGTTGTATATAGGTATAATAATACGAGCTGTTCGACTGCATAAATTAAAACCTATTTCACCCGTGTATGATATGGCTTTCCGTAGGTGAAAGAGATTTAAAAATCGGTCCAGTAGTTTCAATAAAACAAACGAACCTTTCCTCTATAATTAGTATATATTATTAATAAAAGTTTTTTCCTATTTAAATATAAAATCATAATATATTTTTTAATGATAATATTATTCTGTTTATGTAGATACCAGGATTAACCGGAGCAGTTTTTGGCACAAAAAATGATTGGAAATATTTTACTGAAAACAATAAAGTTATAGACCAGGCACTTCTAAACGGATCTGTATATTGGCCAAGAGGAAAAATGCTAGGAGGGAGCAGTAGTATAAATGCTATGTTTTATGTAAGAGGGAATACTTATGATTATCAAAGATGGTATGACGCAGGAAACAAAGATTGGCACCCCAAAATCGTAGCAAATTATTTCGAAAAAGCGGAATCTTTACAGGATCAAAAGCTTTTAAAAGATCCTTCAATTAGGAATTTTTACGGTCGCAATGGCCCTCTCACTGTTAATACTTTTAACGGCACTTATAGAGATGCTTCAAAGAAAGTGCTTGACTCATGGGACGAAATTGGAATAAAAACCGTCGATGATTTGAATAAAGCGAATGTTTTGGGATCAGGAATTTCAAGGGTGACTGCTGGTGATGGACGACGAGCTAGCACAGATTACACATATTTAAATCCAGTTCGGAATAGGGATAATTTATATGTTTTAACTGACACATTGGTCACGAAAGTGTTAATTGATAAAGAAACAAAAGTAGCTGAAGGTGTTGAAGTTGAAAGAAACGGTGCAAATTGAAATTTTATGCAAATACTGAAGTAATTCTAAGTGCAGGAGCTATCAATACTCCACAACTTCTAATGTTATCAGGTGTTGGCCCGAAAACACATTTGGAATCAAAGAATATTGAATGTATAGTTGATTCGCCTGCTGTCGGACAATATCTAAAAGATCACGCATTGATCCCAGTTACTATATATGGCAATGAACCGGGTCCATTGAACGACGCTGTGAGACAATTTCAAGCTATTGAATATCTTTATAATCGGACAGGATATTTATCTGAAATTAATATCGCTGATGTTATTTCATTTTACTCGACAAAAATTTTTTCTCTTTATCCTGAATTCCAAAATCATTTAATTTTGGTTCCGAAAAACTCAACTGCATATGCAAGGGAAATTTTCAAAAGATTCATGTTCAAACCAAGCGTGATAGATTCTATAGTAGAACAAACAAGGCATAATGCATTGTATGCTTTTTTGTTTATTTTACTGCATCCTTACTCTTATGGAAATATAACATTGAAATCTTCAAATTCGAAAGATCATCCGCTTATATATCCTAACTACTTTGATGACGACAGAGATGTTAGTGCTGTAGCGCGAGGAATAAAAAAACTTACGACCATTGTAAACACGAAATATTTTAAGCAAATAAAGGGCCATGTAGGAAGAATGAAGTGTCCAGATTGTGATAATCTTATTTTAGATAGTGATGGTTACTGGAAATGCATAGCTCGCAATGCGGTTGTAACACTTTACCATCCAGTGGGAACAGCCAGAATGGGAACAAACATACAAGAATCTGTTGTTAGCAGTCAATTAAAAGTGCATAATATTGATAAATTACGTGTAATTGATGCAAGTGTAATGCCTTCTACGGTAAGTGGAAATACTAATGGTCCAGTCATAATGATTGCAGAAAGAGCTGCTGATATGATAAAAAATGATTATGGCGTTAATCCAAAGGAGTCTAGAAATGAATCATTAATCAAAAAATTTCTTCAACTTTTATCTCAGTGAATATTTAAGAACGATTTAAAAACATCCATAAATTAATGGATTTGTTGTAAAATTTATTATATCCGAGCCAATTCAAAGTAACAACTTGATCATAGAAATTTTTATCAGTACATTACACATTATATTTTCAGTTTAACGAATAGTATTTAGAACCGGTACTTGAAAATTATTCAAAAAGCATGACACTGCAAGAATATTTAAAATTTGTTGCACAAACAAATAGGAATTATTGCATCATGAAAGAAGATATTTTTCATAACCCCTAAATGAAATATTGTATTATCGAATATCTTTCCGATATATTTCGAATACTGGAATGTTTTGATAAGTTTTTATATACACACTCTTTATTATTTTGGCCAATGCCTGCCTCTACTATCATCCGTTTAGTGTCAGATTTTCCACGTGAACTAAAAAATAATACACTGAACTATTTACGCAAGCTATAAATATTTTCGATAGTTGAATAATAAAATCCTATAAATTTAGATTAGCCCAAGACCACCAAGATAAATTAAGTGACAGTTCATAGTGTGAGGTAGACGCTGCCGCGTGAATGGTGATCAGTGATGTCTGCACCAGAAGAAATAGCCGTTCGATGTCGTGACAACGTCCACGCCAAAGTCAGTTTTATCATAGCTAAGGGAAAATCCATGATGCCAAATTGGTTATGACACCGATGCGTCGAATATTCTATGTAACAGCACGGAATAGCACTTATATTTAAATTCTAACAATCACATTTTCAAACGTAAGGAACTCCATGAATGCATCTATTATGTTATAGTACTTTTAATATGGCATATATTAGATGAATGGACTAATTCCAAGAAATAACTCTTCAATATTATTTATACCACCTTTTTTGAAGTTATCGCAGATCATTTACATATAAAATAAGACATTATGTTTACATGCCTGTAAATATATTGATATATAATAATAGCAGTCTATTGTTCAGTAGTAATCGTTGGGGACACCACTGATGCGTAGAAAACCAACATGATTAATATGGGGAAGAGACAACTACATAGTTTATTGCTGACTTAAGTAAGGGTCATATATTTAGTGATTGATTCACTGGGGTAAAGTGAAATAGAAAGTTTCCTTGGTGAATGATAATATTTGTCTGCAGATAGCTTTACATCTGATTTATGACGGATAAATGAAGTAACTTTTTTTATTACAAACATTACATTATGATCAATGACGGTAAAGATTACAAATTGCCTGCACATTTTATTTGCTTTGTTGTTATTGTTAGTTCGATATGTTCTTATAGCTTTACCGGGCTTGGGACAGTGAGATCCTTGGGGACCTTAAGACAGTAAATTCGTAATTTTGTTACAGTTTTTATGCACCATGCAAAATATATCTTTCATAAAATCTATAATATCTGTTTTCTTTGACCTTCCTCTCCATATATATTTCCACCCCTTTCACACATATTTTCCGTGCCATAAGATCTCTTAATCAATATGTCCATACTTAGCTCATGCTCCTTGTGTATAAATAATCAAATTTTAAACGTCGCAATTATCGCTATACTGTGATGTATCAGTTATCAATGTTTATTTAACCTAAGGTTTAAGTAGCCCGTATTAGTTCATTACAAAACCAGACATAATGTTATATGACTAATTTTGGTCTTTTGTAGAAAAAGGCACTGTCGCGAATCTTTTAATATTTACGCAGCAAGTATTTGGAATGATCGCTAGATAACTAGCATACCAGTGAACAGAATGTTTGTTCACTGCAAATACAAAACTATTATATTAAAGAAAACTGGTATATATGTGTATTTGAGGGTATCTGAATAATAAATAAATGTACTTCAGTCTCGTATTGCGTCTTTTCTTAATAACATCTTCCCATTTAATATAAACTATTTGGCGACGAGGAAACTGTTGTTTGTGCGAAATGAGTATTGATAAGGGTGTTTTGACTATGAGTGAAAAGACTGTTGTATCAGATTTTACTAACTTTAAGGAATTCAAGCTGAATGTGGACAGGTGGTCAATGTACATCAGTAGATTGAAGGCGTGGTTCACAATTCACAGTGTTAAAGTGGAAAATCAGTCTAAGTATCTGGCAGCGGTTGTGAGTACAGAAGCTTTAGACTTAATTATAGATTTATGTTGTCCCGAAAATCCAGAAAATGTAGAAATTAGTGAGATTGAGAAATTCGTCGAAGAATACCTATCGCCGTTCTGTAATTGTCGAGAGAATGCTTTTTCGATTTAGTAAACAAGTGGATAATCAATCGTTAAATGATTATTTCGTCCATCTAAAAACAACCGAGAAAGGCATGTAAGTTTAAAACAAACGACAGTTTTGAAGAAAACTTACGCGACCAATTCGTATATTGACTGAGCAGCGATCGAATTAGACAACGGAAAATGATGGAGAAAGATGAAGATTTATATTTTACGCGCGCCACTGGACTGGTGATAAGAGAGGGTGGCGGTGGCGGACCGGTAGCGGCGGCGCAGGCCGAGCCGGTGTACGCGGTGGACGGTCAGCGCGGCATCGCCTTGGCTCGAGGTTGCGCGCGCCGCTCCAGGGTCTACGCCGGCGCTGACGGCGGCAGCGGTGGGCAGCATTGCTACTGGTGCCATGGAAATCATTTGGCAGAAAAGTGTTCGTTCCTGCATAGTGAATGTTACGTATGCAAAAGAAAAGGTCACGTTGCTAAGGTATGTCATTTACGTAAACAAAGAGTCCTTTACGGCATCGACTAACGGGCGTCGTCGGGAAGTTCGTCGGAATCCGAATGTGCCAACGGAGTAACGGTGTACCAAATGAGTGATGATGAAGACCTCGACGATCGGTGGGTGATACCCGCAAAAATAAATAATGTGTTATTTCAGTTCGAAGAGGATACCGGTTCAGCGGTCAGTATTGTTTCTTATGAGACTAAAAAAAATATTTTAGTAAATATTCATTACAACCTTGTACTTCAAATTTAAAATGTATAGTGGACATAAAGTACAACCGAAGGGTAAATTAAATTTTGTTCTAGAAATAAATGGATTAGTGATATTTGATTCAAGTGTAACAGTCATAGATAACGAATTTAGGGCCGGGACTGGATGCGATCTTTTCATATTAATTTCCCTGTTTTGAAACAAGTCGCTAGTATCGAATCACAACTGTTGAACTCGAAAGAAACTGTAAACGAGTTACAAGAAAAAAATCTACAGGTATTTGCTTCGGGGATAGGTACTTTCAATAAATATAAAATCGAACAAGCGGTGGTGGAGAACGATACCGGTGTGGCGGCGGCGCGCGCCCCGTACCGCACGCGCTACGCTCGGCGGTGTAGGCTGAGCTGGCGCGGCTGGAGCGCGAGGGGATTATCTCGCTAGTCGAGTGGTGTGAGTGGGGTACCCCAGTGGTCGCCGTTATAAAGAAGAGTGGCCAGGTACGTTTATCTCGTTAATCGAAGATATTTTTGCGGCGTTACAAGGTGGTTTCATATTTGCTAAAATAGAGCTTAGTAATGCTTACTTACAGCTGCTATTAGATGACAACTCAAAAAAGCTATATACGATTGTGACACAACAGGGAATGTATTGTTTTAATCGCTTACTGTTTGGCATTAAATGTGCGCCTAATAAATTTCAAAGAATAATGGAAAAATTATTTAAAATACCCCATGTTACCTGTTATTTAGATGACGTCACAATCTGTGACGTTTAACAAGTTCTAAATTGTGGGAAAGAATTTTGGCTGTTTTTAAGATCTTATCAGAATGTGGGTTACGTTTCGCGCCAGATAAATGTTCTTTCTTCAAGAAATCCATTTCATAATTGGGATATATCATCGATGCGAACGGGTTACACATGGACAAAAATAAAATTGATGCCATTATTAAAACACTCGCCCGTAGAAATGTGAAAGAACTGAAGACATTCCTAGGCTTAATAAATAATTATGGAATTTTTTTAAACAATCTGAGTGACATATTTGGTCCACTTATGATAAAAAGGGTAACAAGTTTGTTAGGAGCGAAAAGTGTGACAAGAGTTTAAAGAAGTAAAAAAGGATTTATTTCATAGCGGAATTCTGATTCATTTTAATCCGTCTTTGCCGATCACGGTGATGTGTGACGCGTCGGGGCGCATAGTGGCGAGCTTGCTGTCACAGCGCGAGGTCGACGGCTGTGAGTGGCCAGAGCAACACGCTTCCCGCACTCTCTCTGTGGCTAAATAGAAATTATGCACAAATCTGTAGGGAAGGTTTAGCAACAATTTTTGGAGTAACAAAATTTCATGGTTATATTTATGGTCGTGAGTTTACATTAGTAACTGACTGTAAGCCGTTAGCATCAATTTTTAGTGAAAATAAGGCTATTCCATTAATGCCGCTAGCTGCCTTAGCGTTGGGCAGTGATATTGGGAGCGTATAACTACAGAGTAATGTATAAATACGAAATATGAAACACAATTGTGTAGCAGATTGTCGAGATTACCAGTCGAAACTCAAGAAGAACCAGCGCGTATACAGCCTTCATTGAACAGGCAACTCCACTATATTTTAAAGAATTAGCAATAAATACAGCAACATATAGCGTTTTAATGAGTTTGACTGACGCTATTAAATCGAATTGGCAGTACTGTAAAAAAGGGGAACTAAATGATTTTTTTTTAAATTAATGAATATCTAAGTATAGAACAGGGTTGTGTTTTATATGGCCACAGAGTTATCATCCCAACTAATTTGCGTAAAGCAATATTAGCTCAAATTTATGAAACACATCAAGGGATTGTTATATGTAAAAATTTAGCTCGCAACAATGTGTATTGGCCAGGAATTGAAACGGACATTGAGCGTGTGTGTGGCGCTTGCGACACGTGCGCTCGGGAGCGTCCCTCGCCCCACGCCGCCGGACTGCACCCGTGGCTGGCCACAGGAGCCTTGGTATAGACTACATGTCGATTTATTTTCTATGTTGGGTAATACTATTTATTATTTTGTTATTGCAGATGTGCATTCAAAATGTATTGAGGCATTTCGAGTTCCAAATACGTCAGCGAGACATACAATATGCACAAACTAATACACGTTTTTTACAATTTGGTTTGCCATATAAACTCGTTTCGGATAATGGGCCACCCTTTATTGGTATAGAATTCAGACTTCTTGTCATTATTAATTATTTATCACTTAAAGATAATGCCATACAAACCCAGCAGCAATGGCTCAGCAGAAAATGCCGTTAAAATAATAAAAACGGCGTTGAAAAGGGCATCTTACGAAAAACAGGATTTAGAAAATTCTTTACAATTTTTTTTATTCGTATATAGATCAACTCCACATAGCATTACTTGTAAAACACCAGCACAGTCATTATTAGGTAGACAAGTTCGTACGACATTTGATTTGTTGCGTCCTAGTACAAGTGAACTTGCAAAACAAAAACAAATGATACGAATACGCTATAGAAATGGCAGTGACAGACTGTTCAATGTAGGTGATAAGGTATTTTTTAACCATTTTAAAAAGCTTTTCGTGAGAAAAGGGGGTGGTCTCAGACCGTTCGGGTCCTTTAACATATTATGTAAAGTGCCAAGATAAATATCTTAAAAAGCATGTCGATCAGTTACGAAAATTACATAAAGTTGATGATAATATCGTTGACGCTGCTGAATTTTCGAGTGCGAGCGAACACAATGGGCAAGAACAGTCTAACGTTGTACCGGATGTCGTTGAGCCGTTAGTAGACGTTAATATGCAAAGATCGTATTTGAAAAGGAATCGCAAACCAGTACAAAGATTTGTAGTTCAATAATTAAAAACAACTTTTCTTTATAATGTTTATTGTAAGGCTCAGGATTTTGTTTGTGAATTATTATAAAGTGCTACATTTTGCATAGTATTTAGGTACTAACAGATATATACTGATTTCAGGCACTCATAAGTAAGTTGTTAAATTTTCGTTTGTTTTTTATAACTCCTTTTTTTTGTTTGGTAGGTTCTTAAAATAATGATTGTGTTTATTTTTCTTCTGTCATAGACACTAACTAAGATACGAGTAATAAGTTTGAAATTAATGGAAACTCTTCAGTGTTTAATGAATATCTTTAGTTAGCGTCGGGAGAGTCGCCCGTCGCCCGTACACATACACATACACATACACATACACATACACATAAACATACACATACACATACACATACAGATACACATACACATACACATACACATACACATACACATACACATACACATACACATACACATACACATACACATACACATACACATACACATACACATACACATACACATACACATACACATACACATACACATACACATACACATACACATACACATACACATACACATACACATACACATACACATACACATACACATACACATACACATACACATACACATACACATACACATACACATACACATACACATACACATACACATACACATACACATACACATACACATACACATACACATACACATACACATACACATACACATACACATACACATACACATACACATACACATACACATACACATACACATACACATACACATACACATACACATACACATACACATACACATACACATACACATACACATACACATACACATACACATACACATACACATACACATACACATACACATACACACACACACACACACACACACACACACACACACACACACACACACACACACACACACACACACATGACGCATGCACGCAATTACCCACGAAACTGGACAGTTTTTTCTCTGGTTACTACCCTGGAACACGATGTGTTACTAACCTATTGCATTATAACAAAAATCTTACGTGTATAACAAAACTTTTGAAATGGCCCATGTATATTTCTTATAAGTTCTTTGTTTTTGTTGTTTTTTCCTATTGAATATATTTAAAATAATTTATTGAGTTGTGTTCTACCACACGATGTTAGGGTTTTGCAAAAGCAAAGCATCAGGCTGTTTAAAGCCAGAGAGGCACAAAATGACGGCGTAATTTTTAAATGAATTCTATTGAAAAGATTCTTTTATCAAAGAAAATAGAAGGAAGAGCATCTGGACTATTATATATGTACATGCACGTTATCCCCTGGCACAGGAATTGTCATACATAAAAGGGGACTCCGGTAATAGGGATGATGACTGGGTAAAAAAAATGCAATTCTATTTAGTCCGTCAGTCAGATAATAGAAAAATATTAGATAGGTATTTCTTTTTTTACTTCAATTTAACAAGAAATAGCTTAGAAAACAGGCATTAACATTGAGGAGTGGGGGCTCATTACGTCACAGTTGAGTAGAAAACGTACTCTAACGTGACGTCATGCGAAATTTCAACTCAATGTAACGCCGTAATTTTATGATTACGAAAAAAAATTAAAAATACGTGTTTAATATTTTTTAACAGTCTACCTGACGGACAAACAAACAAAAATGAGGCATCATCCCTATTAGTAATAAATTTCGCATCGGATAAGCTAATAAAATGCTTTTTATTTTCTTTTTCATCCATAGAAATATCTGTAGATTTTCCTTATTTGGTTTCATCTATTGGACAGGCAGACAAGCTGAAGAATGATGAAGATATGTAGGTAAATGCTTATTTACCGATTTTTAATTAAGATTAGCTTAAGACTCCAGTAAAGTAGACCAATGTGCACACAGGACACCCGGAAAACGTGGGCGAAGCCGCAATTTTTAAGCCAGTATATTAATATTTTGTCTGTTAACAAAGATAGGAAGTTTAGGAAAGTCTATTTTAAATACATTATGACAACACAAAATATTATTAAGTCATTAAACAAGCACACTGGGCAAAGATTTGGAGCATAATTGATATGATCGAGAACTGATTCGCACTGAATATAATAATAATTTGTTGGAAATGTTGTAAGTGAAAATGTTTTGTTAATAGCTAAAACGCTTTAATAGCCACAATTTATATATGTTTTGAACAAATATGATATTTCTGATAACGCTTTCGATTTTATTAATGCTACAAATGTAATTTCAAAGTGTTAAGTGAAATTGGGCAATTCTAAATATTTTATCAAAGATGAATTATGCAAGTACAATTTGTGTAGTCTGTAGACTACTAAGTAAAAGTATAAAAAGTGTCACTAATAAAACTAAGGACTTGTCACAAATCGTATGAATTTTTTATATAAAATAGGTAGATAAAGTATTGATGTCAATTCTTCTGTACCACTATCGTAATCAAAAAAATTATAACTTTAATTTGAGTTTGTTTTAATTCTTCAATTGTCAGTGTTAACTATAGGTGATACTCGTTTTATTGTTATTTTCTAGCACAAAGAAATATGTTTTCTTTTTAATTTTACCAAAATAGTTGATATTCCACTAAATACTCCTTTATTATTTTTTAATTGTCAACATATATCATACGTCAGTAGTCCATATCACGATGTTGCTTCGTGCCAATCAGTAACAAATTGAACTTGTGCGATTAATTGCGATAAAAGAATGATATAAAAATTTCCAGACCGTAAGTATTGATTTTATTGTTATTGTATGTTATAATAAAATATATGACCCCTTAATTGACGTGAATTTACTGATAAAAATACCTAAAAATGTTATAGTTGCAACGCTTGTAATGTTTTTGTCCCGTCAGATAACACTGGGCATTTTAACATTATTTTACGATTATATGTAATCAAAGAAATTTAATTATATTCCTATATACTAAAAATAATGTTTAATTCTGATATTTTAGTTATTTGCACAATTGAAAATGTTACTAAAAGATTACTAAAAATAACAACATATAATAATAGACTGTATATTTTTCAATTCTAGTTATGGGGATTCTTCTTGCCTGTCTCCGACTACAGGAGCAGCTCCCCAGTTGTTTGCTGCAGCGATTCAATATTTTGCTGCCACTCAATGCCTCATAAAAGACGACATTCAGCCAGATGACGTTGTATCAGGTATAAGAAAATAATAGAATTTTCGTTCCTTAAGTTGGAAATCTGTAAATTGTAAATTTATTATATGACAAAAATGGAATGTTGTTCATATTTCAGGTATTATAAATTTACATTATTATCGTCAACACAACTGTTGATCGCAAGGTAGATGACCCGGTTTTAGCTAATGGCCCCTTTTCGGCAAATACATTACTGAACCGTGTACTGTCTTTAAAATGCTGAATTCTAATACCATTAACACTTGTGATGTGTCAAAGTTCAACTCTTAAAATGGCCAAAACTGGGTCCTAATTTCAATTTTACCAAAATCGGCTCGTCTGCTCTATAGGTTTATATATCTATTGCAGATAATCAACACTTTGACTTCATAATTGTCGGAGGTGGTTCTGCTGGGTGCGTCCTAGCAGTACGTCTCAGTGAAGTGGAAAAATTTAAAGTATTGTTAGTGGAAGCTGGATCCTACCCTCCAGTAGAAAGCAATGTGAGTTGAATTTATATATTTTAAGCATAATAAAAAATACTATCCGACTAAAAGGAGACGAAAAAATAGGTATGTACAGACCTATACCAATGACATGCCCATCAAAATTCTTCTTTCCATCAAATACATTTATTGGATACACACATAGGACACTTACGTACAATTAATTAGGAATTAAATGTAACATAAAACATAAAAACACAGCAATCATAAGAAATATATGACCGTCCTTTGTAAAAATTGCAATTCAGCTCGTCCATTACTAATTTATAATTATCGGAAATTAATATTTTTATTTCTTTCGTCTGCAACGATTGTAAATATCAATTACTTGCCGCTAAAGAAATTATTTTTTGAAGTGAATGACAGTCAACGTCAAAACTCTGACTTTTGAAAATATAGTATGACTCGATTCCATTTTATAATCGAACCCAATTCGTTTGCTTCATTTCAATTTCTCTTCGTACCCTTCGAGGGCTTGAAAATATGACCAAAACACGCTCCTCTGTATCTGATGTGTTCCCGAAGAACTTTTAATATAATAAGGGACTTGTTAAGATAAACACTTAAAAACCCATATTATCAACTGCAGAGTAATATCAATTGATTTATTCAGATCTTAATAATGTTTCTCAAGAAACTAAAATCTAATATGTTGTTACATAGCAAATTTTTAGCTGCTATTCGTTTCAAGTGCGTTCATTTGTAAAAGTCAAAGACCCGCCACAATGCACCTAAATAAATAGTACTGTTTCATACTATTTAAATACAAGGAAAGAATAACAACTTTGTGAGTAAAAAATAAACTATCGAAAAAAAAAATACTAGCTAAATATTTCAACTTGAACATCATATTGATGTAAATTAATAATACCGATTTTAAAATTTTAAATCAAGATAGCTGCCAGTTTATGTATTATTATTGATATGATTTAGGTTTTTTCAGATACCTCAATTGGCTGGCAGTATGTTGATGACAGATTACGATTGGAAATATTTTACTGAGAGGGATGGAGTTACTGGTCAAGCATTAAAAGATAGCTCCATGTATTGGCCTCGGGGGAAAATGCTAGGAGGATCTAGCAATATAAATGGAATGATTTACATAAGAGGAAACACGGAGGACTACCAAAATTGGTATGATATGGGAAATGAAGATTGGCATCCAAATATTGTAAATAAATATTTCAAGAAAGCAGAATCTATTCAAGATCAAAAATTATTACAAGATCCTTTGATTCGCAAATTTTATGGCAATGACGGCCCGCTTGCTATTAATAAATTTAATAGCTCATTCACAGAAACGCTAGAAAAGGTACTTTCTGCTTACGAAGAAATCGGAATAAACAAGGTGAATGATCTTAATGTAGCCAATGTTATGGGCTCAGGATTTATACCAGCAACAGCTTCAAATGGAAAAAGAGGCAGCACTGATCATAATTATTTGAATCCAGTGCGTCGGTACAATAGAAATAACCTTTACGTTATAACGGATAGTTTAGTATCAAAAATACTAATAAATGCCACTACAAAGGCAGCGGAAGGTATAGAAGTAGAAAGGAATGGTATTAGAATAAATTTATATGCAAACTTAGAAGTGATCGTGAGTGCCGGAGCTATAAATACACCGCAACTACTCATGTTGTCAGGCGTTGGACCTAAAAAACATTTAGAGTCAAAAAATATTTCGTGTATTGTAGATTCACCTGCCGTCGGGCAAAATCTTCAAGATCATTTGAAAATTCCTTTAATGATATATAGTAACAATACCTATTATTTAAATGAAGAAAATGAAATTATCAAGTACATTCACAATCAGACAGGTCATTTAGGCGATAATTACCTTAGTGATATTTTAGCTTTTTACTCTCTCTCAAAACACGCAACATATCCAGACTTTCAAGTTCATTTGATCAATTTTCCAATAAATTTTTCTAACACGCCAGATATATTTCAGAGCATGTTTGGATTTAGCTCTGAAGTTGTGAAATCTATAGCAGAACAGAACAAATCTAAAATGCTTTATGCTTTTTTCGTTTCGTTATTGCACCCTCACTCGTTAGGAAAAATTACTTTAAGATCTTCGAATCCTAGAGACCATCCTCTTATATATTATAATTATTATAGTGATAGTAGAGATCTAAACAAAACAGTGGAAGGATTGAAAATGTTGGCTAATCTAGTCAACACCAAATATTTTAAATCAATTGACGGGGAAATAGGAAAATTAGGTTGGACTCCCTGCGACAAATTGGTTAAAGGTAGTGATGATTACTGGAAATGTTTATCATTAAGTATGTCCACTACAACATATCACCCAGTTGGAACAGCTCGCATGGGGTCTAATATAGAATCATCAGTTGTAAGCAGTAAACTGAATGTACATGGCGTGAAAAAGCTACGAGTTGTCGATGCAAGTGTGATGCCATCTATAACAAGTGGGAATACTAATGCGCCAACCATCATGATCGCAGAAAGAGCAGCGGATATAGTAAAAGATGAATATACATATGTTTACTTCTGAGTAGCCCAAAAATGTTATAGAGAGAAAGTTAAAGCTAATGGAGAAGTTTCATTCAAAAGTGTTTTTTAAAATTATAAGCCAATTATCTGATAAAGAACGTAAAGAGAGAAGTATTGTGATTCTTTGTTTGCGTGTGTCCTTTGTGTAATATGTATCTTTTTCCATACGACTGTGTACGACAAAATTATCCAGTGAACTCAAAACTGTTACTTAATTTTAAGGCTCACTGTTTGGGTCTGTAATCGGTTATCTGATGTATGTAACGATATTGTAAGATCATTTACACAACCGTGGAGGTACCATGAAAAATAAAATAAAAATAAAATTGTTAGCTTAATTTTAAGGCTCATAGTGTGGATCTGTAATTGGTTATCTGATGTATGTAACGATATTGTAAGATCATTTACACAACCGTGGATCTCCAATGAAAAATAAAATTAAATACTTTAAGAAACATTCGACTATGATGTAATTACTATATCACTAAACTTTATTGAAGTCGATTACTTTCCTAAAGAACTTAAAGAGAAACATTGATCACTCACAATTTATGTATAATTTACTTAATAGAAAATTAACACTGTACTTTATGTAAATATTTTGGAAATAAAGATGATTTCCGCGTTCATTTAGCTAGTTATAAATTGTTAAATTGTACAGGTATTTTTTTCAATATTACAGTACATAACAATAATGAAATGTAAAGCAAAAGATAATAAAAAGAAAATAAGTAAAATAATTTCTAAAATACCTATGTGCACCTGCAGCATCTGCACGCGGATGTCAGTCACCGATGTAAATTAACCATTAGTCTGTGCAAACTAGTGAAAAGCAACTTGCGTGTTCATAGTCACATTACAAAAGACTTAAGGAACACTTGTTAAATATAGATATTCAGTCGTAAACATTTTTTACACATCCTATATGGGGACTATATGGAGCATATTCGTCTCTCAAAGGCCGACAGCGGGCTTGTAGCTCCTCTGGTGTTGCAAGTGTCCATGGGTTACGGTAATCACTCACCATCAGGTGATCCGTCTGTTCGTCTTCCTCCTATTCTATAAAAAAAAAAGACAGAAACGAATAGTTGTCGTTACAATTAATAGTATAATATCATCTACCGTGGAAAAATTATGAGTCAAAATCTAAAATATTTCCTAAATAAACACTGGAAACAAGCGATAAAATCACATGCGATCAATAAAATTTGAACTTACACCATTATTTCCAATAATCGAAACAATTTTTTTGTTCTAATAAAAAATGATGATATATAAATATACTTATGATTTTATATACCGCATTCAATCATTAATTTCTCAAACGACTTGTCAGAACAAAAAAATGTTTTAGCAAGGAAATATTTTTGTTTTTGACTAGTAATTATTCCATGGGAGAGGATATTTTACTTTTTAAATTAAGCGTCAGCTATTCGTGTCGGTCTCCAAATATAGGAGCTGCACCTCAAACATTTGCGGCTATTATACAATATTTTGCTGCTGTTCTATGCCTCCTAAATAATAAAGCCAGATGATTACATAACGTATATGGTAAATAATAATTTTCTAGAGGCAAATTGGACCTTGTCCTGAAGGAAAGTTATGCCGCTAATAAAAACACGATTTCAAGTTCAATGGTAGAAACGTTTTATGAAATTAGCGTGTAGTTTCTTGAGTCAGCATGTATCTTTTTTTCTGAAATTTTCAATTACTGAAATTATATTTTTACAAGATAAAGAAGTGTATTGTGTTTAGGATTAATGTATGGAAGTAAGTATGTTGTAAGTTTCATTATTCCAACATAACCTCTAAGATGTAAAATTTGATAGTGCTGCTGATTTAGTTAAATTAAGTAATCACGAATTTAACCACATGGCATTTTATGAGATTAAACATTTTTTCAGATAATCAGCATTTTGTCTTTATAATTATTGGAGGAGGCTTTGCTGGCTGCTTTTGGCTACGCGTCTGAGTGAAGTAAAAAAAAATACTGTTAATGGAAGCTGAATCAAACTTCTACTAAATAACGGTATAATCATAGGTATGAAAAACGTTAAGAATGATTTTGATAAATATATACAATTAAGGACTGGTTTTGTGTAAGGAAAATAAATCTACATAATATTCATTATATTTTAAAATATTTTGATTATTACTAAAAGAGTAATAATTAAACCAACAATTAATTCAATTCAATAGTGAATCAAAAATTAAGCAAATATATTTTGCTTTATTTTAGATAACAAATATTTTACTGAGAATAATGGCGTAACTAGTTAAGGATTAACACGTGACTCTAAATTTTGGCCCTGAGGAAAGATGTAAAGGAGATTTAGCAATATAAATGGAATGATTTATATTAGAGGGAATACGGGCGATTTAAAAGAAAGGCATGATTACAAAATTAAAGATTGGCATACGAATATTGTAAAGAAAGCAGAATCTATGCAAGATCAAAAATTGTTACAGAATTTTCCAGTCCGCAACTTTTATAGTAAGGATGGCTCACATGCTATAAATAAAATTAATATTTCATCTTCAAACATGCTGGAAAATGTATTTTTCGCTTACCAAGAAATCGGAATAAACAAAGAATAAGACAACTAAGCAGATGAAGGTATAAAAGTAGAAATGAATGGCATTAAAATAAATTTATTTGCAGACTCAGAAGTACTCTTAAGTGCTGGTGCAATCAGTACACCACAACTTTTTAAGTTACGCGGCATTGCGCCGAAAAAAGTTGTCGTTAACCAAGTAACCGAGACCGAGGTATCTTAAAAGACGCCAGTTCAATCCTGCCTGAATTGATTTATATGTACTTACAATCACAACGTTTTTCAATATTTAAAATCAATTTTAACTATATCATAATTGGAACTTTCTTAAAAAAAAAAAACAGAATGATCTGATTGCATAATGTTATGCAATTAGTATTTTACTCATCTAAGGAAACCTTGTAATTGTTATCTTTTGATTCCTTAATACTACGAGTACTATTGTTTGTTTTATTAATACTGTCTAATCTAATGTAAATTGTTTGAAATATGGTAAGGTTTTTATTTAGATATTAGATAATTTTAATAAAATTAATCCAAAAGAAATTAATAAAACAACTTTAAATAGTGAACGGAAATTTTAAGAGTAATGACATGAATGACAATGGTTAGTAACAGCAACGCTATTTTATAATAAATAGAGTATAGAACGCAGTTTCAAACGTTATTATGTCGTTAGAGTTCTCTTCAAATAAAACCTTTAATATCTTTTGAAGTAAGTTTTATTTAATTAATCCTCAAATGCTGCAACAGAGCTGCTTTCGACGTTGTATTTTTAACAGAGTAGGTCGATGGCGAAATATTTAGCACGCAATGTGATACGGTTGTTAAGCAATTTTTGCAATGGTCGGTAGGATGGGTGAATAAATTTTACTATCTCGAACTCTTCCGTGTTTCGGAAGGCACGGTTCCGGGTGGATCGTTAATACCCACTAATTTGCACTGCGTCGCGTGGTGGGTCATGGTTCATTCTTCATATTCGATTCGATTCTATCCACAGGGAAGGCCTGAGCCCCAGCAGATGTTCCCACATTAATAGGCCGATGACTATGATGGTTTTTTACGGAATACCACTGACTACAATGATTCGCTAAGTTTGCAATCATATTATGATTATCACATATATTTTATGCAGTAATAAATGATGTATGACACGATTACTATAAAATAAAAATGTGGGACAACTTACCGTTTATTTATTTTCAGGTTATTTTTTTAGTTATAATTATTGTATAGGTATTTTGATGAGTTGCTAATGGAATTTGCGGAATAGAAAGTACGTTCACAATGACTTCTATAGATTTCTTTGGGTCTACACAATAATATTTTCAACTGCGTATTTAAATTAGTACTTAAATATTGTATTGTGTTGGCGTTCGTCTATTCGTGGAAACCTATTCCAAACAAAACCTTTACTGGACTCAGAGCGACAACAAAAGAACCCAGTTTCGCTTTTGAGAGATTTTACTGCCATCCGATCTTATTGGAAATAATATAACCACTTCTCAATTATTCAACTCCTAATATTTTCAAACTAGTACAATAATTTATTAATGTTGTGTCGTAAAAAACTAACATGCCTCATTAAAGTTTACACACATAACACGCTGCCTTTTCTTCTTGGATAGAGGAGGTCAGCGGCAGTAATTAAAAATTACACACTTGGAGAGGCAGACGTCTTTATTTAAAAATGTAACGTGTAGGAAATTCAAAGTTGAATAATTGATTTACAAGAAACAAAAGCTTTTGCCATGGATTCATGTTATACCAACTATTCCTGCTTGTCACCAACCACAGGAGCTGCACCCCATACATTTGCGGCAGCACTCCAGTATTTTGCTGCCGCTCAATGTCTTATTAAAGACAATGTTCTGCCAGATAACTGTGTAAAAGGTATACATTTTTTATTATACGATAATATTCAGCCATAAAACTATGTTACTTAAATATTAATCCATACCAAAATAATATATTCTACTTCATATTTTTCCATGAAAACGACTCGATATGATCTTGATATGCTAATTTATTGCTTTGCTTGCTTGCTTTGCTAATTTATTACAAATAGATTAAGACACCAGAGCCCCCAAATCTACGTCATTTTAGCAAAGCTGAAATTTTGAGGATTTCTAGTCTACTATGCAGTCACTAACTATGTAGTTAAAGTATGCGTACTTACTAGCTCGGACGTGGGGCCTTTTCACAGAAAGTGCGAACAATAGGTGTATAAAAACCTTACTCATCTACGTTAAAGTAAAAATGTTTGTATTTAAATATGTTTTTAAGAATATAATCAAAAAATATATATATTTATTATTGCCAGACCATTGCCGTACGTCATTTTTTTCGACAGACGTCATAAAGATTAATAAAAAATAGGTAAACTACTTTCTATTACTATATTACTCATGGTACTATTTAAAGACCCTTTGAAAATTATGGTTATATTATTTATTGAATTTGATTAAAATTTAATAATTTACTGATATTAACATTAAAATATTAATAAAAAGAAACAATAAAGTGTAAATAAATGTATGGTTATTTTTTATTAAAAATCCTTAAAATTTCTGCTTTGCAAAAATGATGTAAGTCTGGGGCTCTGGGATTTTGGTCTAAAATAATGTATATTGAAAAGTGCATAGATTTTTTGTCTATTGTATGCATATATCTATAGATTCCGAACGCTTTGACTTCATAATCGTGGGAGGAGGTACCGCTGGTTGTATTCTGGCAACGCGTCTTAGTGAAATGAGAAAATATAAAGTGTTACTGGTGGAAGCTGGGCCATATTCCCCCGTGGAAAGTTATGTAAGTTAAAGGTATACAGGAGAGTACACAAAATTTAATATTGTTTTCGCTACGGTGAACCTGGTACAATCGGAGATAAAAAATTGGAATATTTCTATTGACATTAAAAATAATATTTTAAATCGTATTTTTTTTTACTTAGCACTTGTTTAATATATTCTATAAATGTTACTAAAATACCGAAAACAAAAATGATGATATTTTTATCTTATGTACATACCCATCATAAACCTGTTAATGTTCCTACTACTGGTAAATAATTGGGGTAAAAGAATGAAATTACCGATTTGTACTGAAAATCAAAATTGTTTATTTTTTAATGTTTAACGAATTTATTTAATCAAGATAGTTACCATTATTATCTATAAATTGCTGCCATCTAATAGGAAGGTCATTTATGCCTTTGCAACAGAACTCTGAAGATCTAGACTCCACAAACTGTGCGAAAACATTTTGTACTGCGTCCTGGGAAGGAAACTTCTTCGTCACTTAGATAATTGTCCAAATCACGGAAAAAGTGGTAGTCCGTTGGAGCAAGGTCTAGTGAAAATGGTGGATGACGAATGGTTTCTAACTGTAGTTCCAGAAGGGTTAAAACGGTTTCTCAAGCTGTATGAGGTCATGGAGCAATAATGGTGAAGATCGAAGTGAAAGTGAAGATTCATCAGTCGGGGGTACTGCTAGTTTTGCCAACATTGTTCGTATTTAGGCACAATAGGCATTTGCCGTTACTGCTTGACCAGATCGGAGAAAACTATAGTGAATAACATCTTGTTGAGACCACCAAACAGTTACCATCACCTTTCTACTAGCAAGTTTTGCTTTACTGTTGTGGCGTTTGACCTGGGGTCAGAAATTGCATTTTTCTTTTACGGTTATCATAAAGAATCCACTTTTCATCACATGTCACAATTTGATCCAATATTCCTTAATTTCTGTACCGATTCAACAAGGTAACACAAGTTTCAACACGCGTTTCTTTCTGCAGATCAGTCAAATCATGAGGCACTCATTTTTCGTTTTTTTTTATTTTTATTGATTTGACGCAAATGAGTCAATATTATAGGTAAGGTAACATTAAACCATGCCGACAATTCCTGGGTAATTGACTAGGATCGGCTTCCACCATCTCTTTTAATTCATCGTTATTCACCTGTGTCTTCCACGTGGCTTGTTCTTCAAGTCAAAGTTTCCATAACGAAAGCGTTTAAACCAAAATCGCACGGTGCGTTTATTAGCAGACCCATCTCCAAACGCAACATTGATATTTCGGGCTGTTTCTGCCGCGTTACTTCCGCGTCGGAACTCGTATTAAAAAATCACTCGATTTTTCGCAATATCCATCTTTCTTGTCTAAGTTTAATAACAAAAACAATTGAAAATCGATATTCAAATGTTTCACATTCTTTAAAAGAAGAATATCATAGAAACCATGTAAAAAAGTTTCTTTCGAAAACCTCAAACCATGAAGATTCTACGAGTATGTCAATTCAAGGAACCTATTACAATTAAAACGGCAATTTCATACTTTAACCCTAAGATAATATAGTCAGAATCTATTCGATGTCTGTATATTGAAGATATATATAGAAAAAACTGTTATGAGATTCATTTATAGACGTAACACAAAACAACGATTTTTAATTGTTTCTGTCTGTTTGTCTGTGCGTTTGTTTTAGTTTCTATATATTGTTTATCATCGTCAGCTCTTTTACATCCCCATGCAGTGGGAGCTCAGACCTTTATTTAATATTTTTGGTCCATCCCGTGAACAGCCCATGCAAAAATTGCTTCACTACAATAATCGCGGGTAACGGCGTTTATCCGTTGCGCTTCCGAACTACGTATTGATATTGTCTGTATAATTATGATTTGTATGAATATATATATAAAAATAAGTTTTCAATATTTTGGATACCGCAATTTAAGTTGATTTCAATTATATGTGACCAATCATATTAAATGATCGGTGGGTGTTAACGTTGTCGATTTAGCCAGGACTAACGGCTTAACGTGAATTGTGCCAGTGTTGTGCACAGTGCCCAAGATAAAAATGTTTTGGTCACCCATCCTGTGAACGGTCCCTATAAATGTTATTTTTCTATCTTTTTTCTCGTTTCTCACGCTCTAGTTGTCGCTTGTGTCTGAGCATTATATTTGTACTTTTTTGAAAGATTTAGTTGTTTCTTGTTTGCATCGAATTTGCTCTAAAACTACTGGACCGATAGTTTCAGAGTAATTCCGACCTACGGGAAGCTACATCAGACATGGATGTCATAGGCTATAATTTTGCGGCAAGGTCACGGGAAAGAAGCTAGTTCATTATACCCTGTGAAAACTTATCTGCGGTACACCTGTGAAGTATGAATACAACACGGGTTGACGATAATCGAAACTACTTTCACGATCTCTATTGCGCAAACTGCGAGCCCTTTCAGAGACCAAGCGCATTTCTCTATCAAAGGAAGTTCTCTATCAGCAGTTAGACGCTCTATGCGACCTTCAGAAGTTTCCTGAGATCAAACGCTTGTTGTATGAGTTCTCCGAGAGCTCAAGAAATTGCCCCTGTCGGTAAATGCTTCGGATTCAACTTTGTAGTGCATAAGCCTCGCGATGGGCAGTTAAATACGCTTCACCTTTTTCAGGTGTATCGCGAGACTGAGCGCTTTCCGTCCGATATCCTTCTTTTTCAATAAAAGTCGGTCTGTGTCTGACCTGAAAAACTCCACGTATCTTCCGTCAGACATACATATGTCTGACGGAAGATACGTGGAGTTTTATTTATTGATGATATAAAAATAATATTTACATAATTTAATTTCGACTTTCCACACTCGAAGGAAATCGTCTACTTACACATACTTCGGAGAGGTGCTTAACTGAGCTTCCGTCAGATTTGAACGGCCCTCATCATCATCATCATCATCATCATCATCATCATCATCAGCCCTTTTACGTCACCAACTGCAGGAGCTCAGGCCTTCCTTATGGATGGTTAAGGAGGATGGGCCACGACCATCCATGCTGGCCCAATGCGGATTGGAGGATATTAACAACTGTTAATACAACCGGGACCAATCGCTTTACGTGTCTTCCGAAGTTTGGAGTTGCTTGAGATAATATTTTTTTTGGTCACCCAGCACCTTTGCGAAAGCTGCTTAACAACTACAATCGCGGGCCATGGCGCTGAATGAATAAACCATTGTTTCCAGCGAAGACTGAAAATACCAACTTTGAAGTACGTATCTACAGCAATTTGTATGTTAAAAAAGAAACAAAAAGAGTTTACATAAAAAAATAGTAATAAGGGAAAATGAAATATATAACTCGTGTTGTCTTTACGTTCTTTACTTCAGTTGACGTGAATCTAACTTTTTTAACGTCGTGGAAAAGCTTCTAATATTGTCTCTGTTACCTGGCAAGCAACAGGGGGTGAGTAGTATTCTCCTCCGTGAACCCGATAGTGAGTTGCCCAGTGGGTCCTCAGAGGCCCACCCACCAAAACCCGTACGCTACACCCTCTCATGGGAGATGAATCCCGGCAAGCTATGGCCGAGTCACCAGGACACTCAAGTATTGGACCATTGGTGCCCTTGCAGATGGAAAATTGGAGAGATAAATAGAGTGTCTCTCCCAGACAGACGAAACCGTTCAATGCAGGGGCGGCTGTCAACCACCTCCGCTGGCCCCAAAGACGAGGTGAACCTAATCTGATAAAAATATGCTTTTACTGTTGCAATTAAGCATCGAGTAGTTTACAGTGAACGCACGTAGTATAAGGTTTTTGATAGTAAATTCTTATCAGGTTAGATTTACGTCTTCGAGGCTAGCGGAGGTGGTTGGCAGCAACCTCTGCATTACAGGCTCTTAACAGTCTGGGAGAGACTCTAGATGGATCCGAGCCTCTCCACCTGCGATGGGACTAATGGCCCAATACTTGAGCATCCTGGTGACTCAGCTGCGGCTGGGTGGGTTAACGAATAAGAGTTCTACTCACCCCCTGTTACTTGCCGGGTAACAGGAACAAAGCCAGAAACATTTCGTCGACATTAAAAAAGTTAAGTTTACGTCTCAGAAGATACTTTCGCCAAAAAGGTACATAAATTGTAAAAATGCCTTAAAAAAAGGTTAAACATGCAAAACTGCTAAATGGATGAGATTCTTAAGAAGATTCTGCATCGAGTTTTTAGGCCAGGTTATGCCCTACAGAAACTTTGGCTCAGTATGAATTTAAACTGGGTTTACACCACAATTTTTGCTTTTTTTTCCATTCAAATCACTTTTCTAAAAAGTATTTGCAGTCTTCACAAGAGATACAGGTTTATTCACCGGCTCAGGTTTATTCATGAGACTCATGCAATATGACATGAGTCTGACGGTTGGTGCAAAATTGATGGAGCTCATTCAAGTACCTCACGGAAGTACACGATTTCCGTCTAGATATATTAAAATCAAAAGAAAAACAGTTGAAATATACCGAATGTACGATAAAAATGGTCAGACATAAGAGTAGAGAAAGAAGTGAGAAAAAATATAGAAAAATAACTATTGTAAGGGCCGTTCATAGGGTGGATGATCAAAAGATAATTATCTTGAGCTCCTCCGTGCATCAATTCGCATTGGGCATAGTACGTTATGGACCATTGATCCTACTCGATTTTCGATCCCAACCATAGGAAAGAAACAATTCTCCTGATAGTCAAAGTCGCAGTTTGAAATATAAATTTATAGATACCGTGTTCATATTTGGTAATTCATTTCTTTCAGATACCAACTTTTTTTCCATATCTTCTTTTGTCACGATATGATTGGCAATATCATACTGAGAACAATGGCATTGTCAGCCAAGCACTTATAAATGGGTCGGTGTGTTGGCCTCGAGGGAAAATGCTAGGAGGTTCTAGTAGCATAAATGCAATGATTTATGTTAGAGGGAATACGGAGGACTTTCAAAATTGGTATGATCTAGGAAATACTGATTGGCATCCAAATATAGTAAAGAAGTATTACAAAAAAGCAGAATCTTTGCAAAATCAAAAACTGCTACAAAATCCATTCATTCGTGACTTTTATGGAATTGACGGCCCACTTGCTATTAATGTGTTTAACGATTCGTTTCCAAATACTATAAAAAATGTTTTGTCTGCTTACGAAGAAATAGGAATAAAGAATGCTTATGATGTAAACACGGCTAATGTTATGGGTTCAGGATATTTGACAGCAACTGCTGCTAATGGCAGGAGAAGTAGTACCGATCATTGTTATTTAAATCCAGTTCGTCGACTTAGAGATAACCTTTATATATTAACAGACAGTCTAGTTACAAAGATATTAATAAATACATACACAAAAGTAGCTGAAGGTATAGAATTAGAGAGGCAAGGTATTAAAATGATTTTTTATGCAAATTTAGAAGTGATAGTAAGTGCTGGAGCAATCAATACACCGCAGCTTCTTATGCTATCCGGCATTGGTCCTAGAAAACATTTGGAATCAAAAAATATTCCTTGTCTTGTTGATTCCTCTGCTGTAGGGCAAAATCTTCAAGATCATATAAAAATTCCCGTTTTGGTATATGGTAATAATTCAAATAGTTTAAGTGAAATGCAAAAAAATTACGAAGCTATTAAATATCTTTATGATCGGACTGGATATTTAGCGGACAATGGTATCGCTAATATTTTAGCTTTTAATTCTCTGTCAAAATATGCTACATACCCAGACTTCCAAATCTTTTTAATGCCTTTTCCAAAAGGTGATAGTGATTTGACAAACATATTACGTACAACTATTGGTTTCAAATATGAAGTTATACAAAATATAGTAAGACAGAATAAAAACAAAATGTTATACTTGTTTTTCTTTACACTACTACATCCTTACTCTCTTGGTAGTATCATCTTACGAACATCAAATGCAAAAGAACACCCTATAATATATCCGAACTATTTTAATGATGTCAGAGATCTAAATAAAATGGTAGAAGGGCTGAAATTTTTTTCCCAAATCATCAATACTAAATACTTTAAATCAATTGGTGGGCATATTGGTGATCTTGGCTGGCCATCGTGTGATAACCTAGTTAAAGGTAGTGACAATTATTGGAAATGTGTTGCAATTAGTACGGCTAGTACCATGTATCATCCAGTTGGGACAGCTCGAATGGGTTTTAATATAAAGACATCAGTTGTCAGCAGCAAACTCAAAGTATATGGAGTGAATAAACTGAGAATAGTTGATGCCAGTGTGATGCCATCAATAACCAGTGGAAATACTAATGGTCCAACTGTTATGATAGCAGAAAGGGCAGCAGATTTAATCAAAGAAGAATATGCTTGTGATCGTTTCGCAGATGGAGATTATGTAGTTGATTTGAAATAGAAAGCATGTACTTGCAAGCTTTACAAAGCAAGGACTGTAAGAAATAAAAGTGTAATCATCTTAAAGAAATTAATTACTAATTAATAAGTCTTGACATTTTAGTAGTAATAAGATTGTAAATTAAGTAGTATTCTGTATAGTTTACAGAAACGTGTTGTAGCATCTTTATATTTAATAAATAGCCATAATAATGTATGTACAACGAGCTCGTTTGTAAAGCTAATTAAAATTTGAATAGAAATTATGCATTTTTCATTAACATATAATTTTATTAAACCCAAATTACAAATAGTCATAACCAGTTCAGAGTTCGATTAATACTTGTAAGTTGTATGTTGCAGTCTTAACATTTAAATCAAAATACCGATGTATAAATGCTCGCTTATAAATGATATATTTAAAAAAATTTACATTCTATATTTACAAACACTGATGTAAACATAGAAGCCATTGAAAATCATTGCATTATTTGTTCGTGACTCATAATCACTTTTAATTGCTCTAGCGTGTATTTTATTTCTAAATAAACGATGTTTTAAACATTTGTAGCAACAGATTTTGGACATGTTTATTTAATTTAAGCAATAAGTTTGTTATAAAAAATAGATATTATATATATATTTAAATTTATTTATGAACCACAAAAAAGATTCAATACTAAAAGTTACATAAATTACTTCGATCATTGACCGAAGATAAATTAGGACTTATTGTAAACTCAATATCGTTGGTTACATTTAAATACAAGTATTCTAGTGCAAACTGAAGATGCAGATTCTTTGCAAGACTCATACAACTTATGTTTAAATTAGAATTAAAACTATTTTTATAGAACCAAATCATATTGACAAAAACCATTCTATTATATCTATGTACAGTGAAACAGAGATTTGTGCTTATTTATATATGTAGTGTAAATTTATTATAAATTACATAGCGATGAAAATTGGTGCAAATTAAGTTGGAAGTAATTTTGTTTACGTTAAGTGGTGTTAAGTTACTTTAAGATGGCGTTAAGTATTCTACACCGCACTGTTTTGCTGAAATTTGAGTTTTAAAATAAAATGTAGTAAGAAATTTAAAGTAGAAAATTTAAAGTAGAAATTTAAAGTAGTAAGAAATTTAAGCTTTGCTATACTAGATGGCGGTTATTCTAAAGTAATCCGCGCTAAAGTTTCTTTCAAAATATTTTGCGTATATTACGTTTTCGATTAAGTTTTGTGTAAGCTTCAGAACTGTCTTTCCATCTGTATTTCAAATTGTATTGGATTGGATTAATATCTCTAAAGTTTTAATAAAATAGTGTTTTGATAGCTTCAGCACTAGCTTATTAATGTACCCACAGCTAGGGCACTGGCTTTTCTTAAGAATGAAATGAAATCTAATCGAATAGATAAAATATGCCATGACCAATCCAGTGCGAATTGGTGGGTGGTACGATTGCAGATGCAGCAGGGACTAACGGCTTAACAGGCCTTCCAAAGAACGGAGAGTTTAAAGAACATACAACTTTTTAAGTTACTGAATTTTTGGTTCAAATAATTAGAGCTAACATAATTTGTTTGCCATGCCATGCGGCACCCCAAATATGACATACTTAAGCATTTGCCTTGTTTACCTATATGAACGGGCCATCTTAATTGGTATCAAATAAAAAAAAGAAATAAAAGAGTTTTCGTTCAAATAAATGCAATTTTCGTAACGGTCGGTCATTGGAAGGTTGGATCTGCATTAACAACCACCAATCCGCACTGGGCAAGTATGATGTATCATTGCCCATTCTCAATATTAGACCCTATCTTTAGGGATTGTTAGTGCCCCAACAGCAGGGATGTTAATAGGTTGATGATGTAGTGCCAATCTTAGCTTTTAAAAGACTGAGATAGTATATTGAAACTATTTTGTTTATTTTATTGAATAGATAGATATTGAATAGATTTTATTGACTAGTTAGCGGCACTTCTCATAAACAGTTGTGCTCAAAGACGTAAAACCAATGAGAATATGACTTCCCTTCAATACCTATTATCTGATTGTGAATTTTCTTATCACGAAAATCCGGAAAAATGTTTCAACATAGATGTCTAAATTATTAGGAAAACACAGAATTAAGAAACACACGACTCTGATCCCAAAGTCGTTTATCTAATATCTTAGAGAAGAAATATCCCGCATACTCAACCATAAATATTTATAATACCCAAAAAAACCCTTATCCCTTCACAATCAAACAGTTAAATAATTTATAATTTCTCCACCAAATTTATTGTAAGCGCCAACGCCGAAAATCCCAGAATAAATTAGGCCCAAAGAACCTCATGTTAGCCCTTTACCGAACGAGCGGTTTCGTATTCACATAATCGCAGAGATTAAATCTGTCTAGAAAACTCGAAGGGATCAACGGACCTCAGATGTAGCAATTTTCATCTAAAAAGGGTGAAGGTTTTTGCCTATTGAAAGCGTTAATTACGAGATTTTTCACGCGTGATTTACTATTGAATATTTTCTTATAACATAGAAAATACTGTTAACTTATTTTCCAAAGTTATATAACTTTTACGATGTCACTTACAAACAGGAATGATGTCAATTTTATTTGTATGTCAGGAAGAATATTAAACATGTATTTTTTGCCTAACCAATAAATTACGGCGATACATTGATTTGAAATGTCAAATGACGTCACACCCTTGTACATTGTTGTGCCTCCTCAACTTTAATGCCTATTAATAACGCTATTTCTTGTCAAATTGAAGCAAAAAAAATGTATCTCATATTTTACTATTATCTGATAGACGGACTACTTATTATGTCTTCAATGACGACGTAACTTTTGCCATGAAAACGGATTTTTGAGTAATTTAAAATAAACATAACATTTTTGGAATTTCGAAGTATGAGTGTAAGACTTACTTTTAAAACCGCGGTAGCAAACTTCGTTGAGACTTGTGGAAATAGCGATATTTTTAGTCAGCTCCAAAATTTGCAGGAACATTATATTACATTGTCACAATCATAATTGAAAAAAATGAAGCTCTAAAACGTCTTTGTTACCGTACATATGTTAGCTTTTACCCTAAAAGGATCGGCTGGACCCATAACTAACAAGATTACACCTAAAAGCCACTTTCGATAATAGAGGTCGCTATTGTCCCTCAATTAATGGCATTGATAGCTCTCAAGCATAGCTGTACATTAAGTTATGATATGCGTCCTATACTTAGCTAATTAAAAATCATCATTAATTTCTGTATTTGTGGTCCACATTTTATTTAATGTAGTTATCTTAAAGAGAAAACTGTCCCTCACTTACATTATAAACGAATTTGGTTTTAAGTAAACACAGCTCAAGGATAAGAACAAAGTGCTGATAGTGCAACAAGTATTCATTGACAGGCGAACGACGTCCACTCTTGCGCATTGGCCTCTTCCCGTCAGCATCCAGCGGCTTCCCGCAACCTTTATTAGATCGTCAGTGCTGCTGGTGGAGAGGCTATCTGCTGAACATCATCCAGTCCGCGGTCGCCATTCAGAACTATTCTGCCCAACGGCCATCGGTTCTTTTAGTTATGTGGCTCACCCACTGCCACTTCAGCTGAGAAATACTTCCACCAATGTTAGTAACAATAACAATAGAAATATTAAAATTATAATAAAGGTATATAAAACTTTGCCTTGTTATTAACAAGATTTCAAATAGATTTCTGTTCGTCTGACAAAAAGAACTTCGTAACTAGAGATTTCAGCATTTGGGTGCATCTAACATACTCAGGTAAGGAATTCCACAAATGGATTTAGCTCGCAGGGTAAAAGTTAGGCGGTATGTAAAGGCGCAGATTGTCAGATGAATGAAGGAGAAGAATGTGAGTAGAGGAATGAAATTTAAAATATTCCTTGAAATATCTAGGTGTCAATGGATTAAACAGCACAGAAAAGAGAAGGGATAATATGTGTAGGTCTCTGTGTTGGCGAATGGTAAGCCAATTCAATCTTTAACGGTAGTGAGAGACCAGGTCATATTTACGCAGTCCGAATATGAACCTTATGGCGAAATTTTGGAGATGTTCTAGTTTATTAAGAAGATCAACCGTAAGGACGAGATAGCAAATATCTGCAGAGTCAAGAAGTTTTGTAAGCGCCGCAACAGCTGTAGCAAACATACGTCTGATAATTTCTGCAAATTGTGTTCTCCAGGATAAAAGGAGTATTATAGTAGTGTTCTTGTATTATATAAGTTACTAATTGTCTTAATTATATAATACAGTTAATTGTTTCACTACCGCTAACTCACTCGACCTACTTTATATCTAAGCTTTGCTTTAGCCTAGAGACGTAATATTGTGTTGTTATTGTAGTGCTACATTGTTAAGCTCAATCGAGTTTTTGTAATAAAAACAAAATAACGTGTATAAAAAATTATTTGATAATTGACAGTCCATTTAAAGATCATTTTAAAATTCTTATCCTCAATATCCGCAAATGCTCAACCCAAGCGACTGCAGATTTGAATAAATTATGGGAATTTCTAATCTTGTACCCACTGGGGAAATCTTACACCATCCAAAACCTCTAAAGATTGCGTTACATTAATTCAAAACGAGATGCAGGTGACTTCACATATTTGCTTTAGAGTTCGTGTATTCAGGATAAATATAGTGGATTTTAAATATAGAGTTTCAATCATTTAAATTATTAGAAGAAATAGTGGAATACATGTAATTTTAGCATAATTATCTTCTAGTATATTTAAAAAACTAATAAAATCATCTGTGAATTCTGTGACAAGCTGTAATATATTATTTAGCTTCGAATAAAACATATGATGCCAGATTTTGGGACCAGATACTTCATTTAAATTCAATGTCTATGGAACCCTTACGTAATTATAGATATTTTAACACTCAATACATAAAATTACATTAAAATGTCATAAACTACAACGAACATTTACTAACTTTATTTCTTTGAAAATTTAAAAGCTTACAAAAACACACTATTGTTTCAAAATAAAACTTATATGAATAATTTATATTGTTTTTATTAGAGTCTAGAGGGAGTCATGATATATGTACTTATAAGAGTATTATCGAAGTAATGGCGGTGAAAGAAAGGGAAATTATTGCGCACTCTGCAATTCTGCATTTTCTTATAATGTTATCCTAGTTTTGTTCAAATTTTGAGCTACGACTTTACGATATATATTATAAAATTAAAAACGACACGTTTTAAATAGGCATAATAAGATGAAAAATGCTAATATATAACTTCTAGAATAATATTCTTAATGAAAAATTCTTAAAAAATCCACCAGCCTTCGGTACTCTGAGA